TTTGGGATGCCAGTGCACGTGGCCGGAGCATCTCCAGCCTTTCATCCACTTGAGGTGCTGGTTCCCCAGCTCTGGCTCATCCTTCATCCCTTCCCTTCAATCCCAGGGCTCTTTGTGCAGTTGGATTTCAGCACCATCAGCAAATGAATCCAAAGTGCAAACAGAGCCTTGGGGGAGACAATCCCAGATCCCGGTGCCATCCCAAAGCAAAGCCTGGCTCAGCATCCCCTCTGGCTCAGCATCCCATGAAAATCCACTTCCTTTCCAATCCCAACCAGGTGCTTCTCCCATCCCCAGGGAGGGTCAGCTCCAGGCTGGGAAGCTCCCAGGGTGAGCAGCACCAGGCACTGATGGTCCCACCGGGGTGGAGAGCAGCGTTTGGCACCAAAAGTGAGGAAAAAAAGAGGAAAATTGTGTCATTTCTATTGTTTTCCACCTTCCTCCCAGGAAGGGAGCTGGGTTAGGTGGGATCCCACATCCAGCATGCCATTGCAATGGGATTTAGGGAAGGATTAGGGTGATTTGGGAGAGGGAGATGCCATGGAGGAGGAAGGAAAAATTAAAGTTAGCCAAGAACTGAAGAAAAAGTGAAAGGAGAAATTAAAGGAAAAAAAATAAAATAAAGAAAAAAAATAACGTTGAAAGAAAAAATAAAGCAAAAATTATTGGGGAAGGAAATATTAAAATAAAGCAAAAATTAATCCTGGAATCACAGAATATGTTGCAGGGAGTATTAAAACTGAGGGGAAAAATAAAGTTAAAGCAAAAAAAATTAAGGTTAAAGCAGAAAAATTAAGGTTAGAGCAAAAAATAAAGTCGAAGGAAATATTGAATTGGAAGGGAGAAATTGAAGCTAAAAATTAAAGTTGGAGCAAAATTCTACCCAGCCCAGGACTGTGCAGAGGATCCCTGTGTTCCCTTTGATTCCAGAGTGGAATAAAAAACGTAATAATTGATTTCAGGGATAATTAAAAAAACCTCTTTGTGCCTCAGAATGCAGAGGTGGCGGCGAAATCAAAGAGGTGAATAAATAAGAGAGAAATAAATGGGAGCGGGGCGGGGAAAGTGAAGGGAGAGGGATAAAAAAAAAAAAAATCCCTATTATGAAGGTAAAAGATGGGAAGTGGCGGAGAGGAGGAGATGGGGCGAGAGGAGAGATAATCAGAGCATTAAAAAAAAAAAAAAAAAGAAACGGAGAAACAATCAAAGGACGGGAAAATCAAAAGCAGATGCTGAGGAGGGATAAGGGGCGGCCGGCGGAGCGGGAACGGGCACCGGACCGCAGGGATAATTGGATTTGAGTTCGTCTCGGGGGCGATAAGAAATTCCCAACGTAGGTTTTTTTTTTTTATTCCCATCTGAAGCATATTTTAACGGGAGATTTGAATATAGCTGGGGCAGAGCATCCCGACGGAAAAAAAAAAAAAAAAAAACCGCAGGATTTTCCGCAGTTTATGGGGGGCTTTTTGGGGCAGAACGCGGCTATTCGTGCGCTCGGCAGCTTCGTTCCCGGTTAGGAGCCCCAAAAAGCAAGGGGAGGGGGCGCAGGAATCGTGGATCGTGGAATGGTTTGGGTTGGAAAGGAACTCAAGGAGCGTTTTTTAGTCCCCGTGTCCCCGCGGCCGAGCGGAACGGGCGCCTCCGGCCCCGGGAGCTCCGGGAACACGGAGCGGGAGCTGCGGGAGGGAGATGGGAGCGATAGGGCAGGGCGGGCGCTGACCCGGCACAACCCCGGACATCCTTTATCACTGTGGGATCAGCGCTCCGGGCCCGGCACGGCTCCGCGCCCTGACCTTGCTCCAGGGGCCGGGAATGGTGGCTGGGATGGAGTTATGGGGTCAGGGAGAGGGTTTAATTAGGATTGGGGCCGTGGCGGGACGGGTGGTGGTGGTGTTGGTGTGTCCCACACCCCGCTCAGGGCTGGGAACGCTCCTGAGGGTGCGAGGTGGAGCTCAGGGTGGCTCGATGCCGTCGGGAATAATCCTGTTGGGATAGGGGGAACCTGCTCCTGTGTGCGTGGGGGTCGCGGGGGAACAGCACACGAGGGGATCTGCGGAGCCCCCGGATTTGAGGGAATGTGGGGAGGGGAGGGGAGGGGGGGCTCCAGCGGCCAGAGGAGGACACACAGGTTGGAATGCGCAGGTGAGTGTTGGTGGGGACACGGACACAGCGGGATGTGGAATCACATGGGCGCGGACACGCGTGGGCACGGACACGTGTGTTGTGTGTGTGTTCTTTTACATGCACCGACACCCCTGTGCTCGCACACGTGCGTGACCTCCCGCATCGCCCTCCCCCCCCCACACACACACCTGGGACACAGGTGAGACCCCAAACATCCCCTCCGGGGCTGGGCGTGGCCCTCTTGCTCTGACCCCGCCCCCAAGTGCTCTGACCCCGCCCCCTCCACCCCGGAGGGGTTGGAGGTGGGCGCGCGCAGGGGCGGGGCCGGCGCTCGTCGTGGGCGGGGTTAACACCGGGCGCGGAGGAGGCGGTGCCAAGACCAGCAGTGGGCGGGGTCAGAGCGGGGAGGCGTGGCTAGCGCCGGTTAGGGCGGGGTCAAAACCGGCAGGGGGCGTGGACACAGGGTGGGCGGGGCCCAGATCCACTCGGGGGCGTGGTCAGAGGCGGGACGGGGGGGCGCGAGCGGCTCGATTCGGGGCGTGGCCAGCGCGGTGGGGGCGCGGCCAGAGAGTCACGGGGCGTGGCCGAGCGCCCGTTGTGGGCGGGGCCGGGCGGTTGTGGGCGGGGCCGGCGTCGCTCTCGCTGCGGCAGCGGCGGCTCCGAGCGGGGCCCGGGCTGGCCCTGCCCGCTTTTCCCGGCTCTTCCCGGCTCTTCCCCGGCCGTTCCCCCCCGGCCCGGCCATGGCGCTGCTGCGGGCGGCCGCGCTGCCGGCCGAGGGCGGCCCGGCCTGGCTGCCCACGCACGTCCAGGTGACGGTGGTGCGGGCCCGCGGGCTGCGCTGCAAGGGCGGCGCCGGCACCGGCAAAGGCAAAGCGGGCGGCAGCGACGCGTACACCGTGATCCAGCTGGGCCGCGAGAAGTACAGCACCTCGGTGGCCGAGAAGAGCGGCGGCAGCCCCGAGTGGCGGGAGGAATGTGCCTTCGAGCTGCCCCCCGAGCCCGGGCCCCGCGCCGGGCTGGTGCTCACCGTGATGCACCGGGCGCTGGTGGGCATGGACCGCTTCCTGGGGCAGGCCGTGGTGCCCCTGGAGCCCGCCCGGCAGCGCGGCAGGGAGCCCGACGAGCGGTGAGTGCGGCCGGGGGGGAAATATGGGGTCACTGGGTGGCCGTGGGTGGGGGTCCTGGGGTCACTGGGTACCCCAGGATGGGCGTCGTGGGGGTCGCCGTGTGCCCTGGATGGGTGTCGTGGGGTCCCTGGGTACCCCAGGGTGGGCGTCGTGGGGTCCCTGGGTACCCCAGGGTGGGCGTCGTGGGGTCCTTGTGTATCCCAGGGTGGTGCCATGTCACCCCTGAATGGGTGTCGCGGGGTCCTTGTGCACCCCAGGGTGTGTGTCATGGGGTCCCTGGGTACCCCAGGATTGGTGTCACGGAGTCCCTGCGCTCGCCAGGATGGGCACAAGGGATCCTTGTGTACCCCGGGATGGGTGTCCTGGGGTCCCCGTGTGTCCCAGGGTGGTGTCACGGCATCCCTGGATACCCCAGGATGGGCGTCGTGGGGTCCTTGTGTGCCCTGGGTGGGTGTCCTGGGGTTCCCGTGTGCCCCAGGGTGGGTGCTGGAGGAGGAAGGGCAGCACAGGACCCACGGACACCCTAAGGAGGGTGCCACTGGGATTAATTAATTAGGGTGTGGGGGGGTCCAGGGAAGGCCTCTCCAGGAGCTCATCCAGCATCCATGGGCTGTGCATCCACCGGGAAGGGCGTCACGGGGCCCGTGGGGAGCCCTGGGAAGGGCGTCCCAGAGGGTGGGGTGGGGTCCGCGTGTCACCCGGGAAGGACATTGCAGGGCACGGGGTGTCACAGGGCCCGTGGGTGCTCCGGGAAGGACACTGTGGGGGGATGTAGGACATCACGTGCGCTCCAGGAAGGATGTGGTGGAGGATGGGATGGCTCGGGGTCCCTCCATCCCCCCTGGAAGGGAGACAAGGCACTGCGGGATCCATCCTCCCCCCCCGGGCAGCGGGGCTCAGGGGACGGGATGCCCCGAGGTCTCTCTGCATCCCATGGGTGTTTTCCAGGGATCTGTCACTCCTGGCACAGCTGCAGGTCGTGGTTTGTCCCTTGATGGCTGGGGGGGGGGGCTTTGCAGCCCCCCCAGCTCAGTGGGGCCGTCGGTGTCACACCCCAATTTGGGGATCTGAACCTCATCCCTGTGCTGCCTCCGGCACAAATCCCTGTTTGTGTGTGAATTCCTCATCTTCCTCCTTCCCCCAGAAGGGTTTAAAACAATCAAAACGTTTCCGAGCCTCTGCCAAGCACAGAAATGCAGGAATGTGGCCGAAATTCCTTTAGGGGAGAAGTTTTCGGGGGCTTTGTTCCGAGCGGACCTGGCTGGGCTGTGCCTCGGGGAGTGTCCCCCCCCCCCCCTGCTCCCTGGCCCCCTGGATCCCGGGAATTCAGCTGGATCGCTGCCCGAAGCTGCGGGCTTGGAGAGGGACCTCCCTCACCCCCCTACCCAGGGCAGCGGAGGGAGTGGGATTAGAGTTGAAAAGGGGGCTGGAAAAACTTTTCCCGTGGAGAGAGGCGGCTCCACAGCCCTTGGAAATTCCTGGTTTGGCCTAAAATGGGAGCGTGGGGAAGGAGGAGCACTGACTAACCCCGGAGATGGTGTCTGGGTGTTTTCCCCCTCCCTCCCCCCCCGCGGCGTTTATTTTGCTTTCCTTAGCAAAACACCGGGAGAACGGGCGGGGCTGGGGCTGGATCGGGATTCTTGGAGCCTAATTGAAACCAGGAGGACTTTGGAGAGAGAGCCTGGCGGGAGAGACGAGTGATTCTGGCATGGGTTGGGGCGGGGGGATGTGAAAGAACCCTCCGTCCTTCCTGTGGTTTGGGGAATGGAGCTGGGATAGGAGCTGGGAGGGAGCTCGAGGAAAGCCACGCTCCTGGTGGGAAAAGTTTATGGAGCTGTGCAAAGCAGGGGCCCCGAGGTTTGGGAGGCTGAGCCCGTGGTCTGGTCTCAAAGGTCTCCGAGGGCGTCAGGGGCTGTTAATCCCGTGGGAGCAACGTCCAGCGTGGCTGGACATGGTGTCACAGCTCCTGGTTATCCTGCACTGGGTATTCCTGGTGGATCTGGGCTGGGAGGTTGGAGATCTCCAGGAATTTTGAGAAGGCTCCAGGGTTCCAGCACCTTCTAGTTCCCAAAGGGGATCCAAGAAAGCTGGAGAGGGACTTTGGGCAAGGCGTGGAGGGACAGGACACAGGGAATGGCTTCCCAGTGCCAGAGGGCAGGGAGGGATGGGATATTGGGAAGGAATTGTTGGTTGGGAGGGTGGGGAGGCCCTGGCACAGGTTGGGCAGATTCCTGGAAGTGTCCAAGGCCAGGTTGGACAGGGCTTGGAGCAACCTGGGCTAGTGGAAGGTGTCCCTGCCCATGGCAGGGGGTTGGAACGGGATGATCTTTACGGTCCCTTCCAAACCAACCCATTCCATGAGTCTCCGATTTGCTCTCCCTGTCTCCCTCCCTTCCTGTAGCTTTGCTTGCACAAGGAAAATTCACTTCCCCTTGCAGCATTTGGGATCACAAGAGCTTTGAAGGCTCTTTATCTTCACCCTTGGCCCCCGAGGATGGAAGTGAGCTTGGAAAACACGGAGAGCTCTCACCCTGTGCCTGGAGCATCTCCACTCGCCCCAAGCCCGGAGCTGGAAGGTGTTCCCAGGGTGGGTGACAGCTCTGCAGCCTGGAAGAGGCTGCTCTTTTTCTTGTTTTGTTTTTTTTGGAGAGGAATCCTAAGGGCTGGAGCTTGCCCAGCCAGGTGGGAGAAGGATCATGGTGAGCTCAGGGGGCGGTCCGGGAGCCACCGGAGCTTCCAGCCGGCTCCTGACATCTGGTTTGGCCCCCATCGCCAACAACTTCTGTTTAGGAGGAAATTTTTAGTCCCAGATGATAAAAGAGCAAAACAAACAGAGGTTCCCACCCTCCTGGCCCAGGCCTGTGCCCCAGAGATAACCAGGGAGTGGGGGGGGATGGAAACTGGGGCTGTGCCACGTGCTGCTTTTTGGGATCCCATCTCCGGCCCTCGCTGCCGGACACAGACCCGCTGCCAGCTGGGATGGGATCCTGCCTGAAAAAGGCCTCCATTGTCAGCGTGTTGACCTTGCTCTCGTTTTCCTGCTGGCTTTTATTGCATGGAAACTTCACCGGTGGATAATTATGATCCTTGTTTTTGGGCTCGGTGGAAAATGTTCCGTCAAAACTTGGCCTCTTCTCCAGGAGCGCGCCGGTGGCCGGGAGTGTCGATGAGCTGCTTTGTCCAGCTCAGTCTCGGTCATTCCAGTGTTTTGCCGGAAGGAAATCAACTCTTGGGAGTTGCACAAGAGCAGCCTGGGAGCTCCCATAGCCTTTTTGGGCGTCCCAAGGCTCCGGCAGCCCCAGGGATCGGGCTTGGCAGGCAGAGCAGGCGCTGAGGATCCGATCATTTCCCGCTTTCCACTTGAGCCTTCCCACCTCCAAAAAACCCCGTGCCCAGGCAGGATGCTCCTGGTCCTCACTTCCCCCTCCCAAAGCAGGGTCCATCCCAGAAGAAGAGGGATTTTTGGGTCTTCACAAGGCAGCTGTTGCTTCTGCTTCCTGACATCCAGGAAATGCCCTTGGAGTCCCCCAGGGGGGCTCCTCCCGCTTTCCCTGTGGTGTGGCAGCGTGACAGGGAGTGTCACCTCCATATCCACAACATCAGCAGGAATCTGGGGAGGCTGGAAGTGCATCCAGCAAAAAACAAGCTTCCATCTTGACACCCATCAGGCTGTGTTTTCTTAAAGTCTTGGAATGGTTTGGGTTGGAAGTGACCTTAAAGATCATCCAGTTCCACCCCCTGCTGTGGGCAGGGACACCTTCCGCTAGCCCAGGTTGCTCCAACCTGGCCTTGGACACTTCCAGGGATCCAGGTGCAGCCACAGCTTCTCTGCCCAACCTGTGCCAGGGCCTCCCCACCCCCATAGCCAGGAATTTCTTCCCAATATCCCACCTAACCCTGCCCTCTGGCAGGTTAACCAAAGGGAAGCCATTCCCCCTTGTCCTGTCTCTCCATCCCTTGTCCCAAGTCCCTCTCCAAGGCACTTGGAGACCTTTTCCTTTTGGCCAAGGTGCAGCATCCCTTGGGTGAGGTCTCTGCATTGAGAGGGGCAGGAGGTTCCTGGAAGCACCTGCAGGGTTGGACCTCGGATCTCACTGCGTGGGGACCCAAAATATCCGTGATTTTACTGCATGGGCTGTGGTGGGAAGGAGCAGTGGGCATCCAAGGCTTCCTGGGCTGGCTGAAGAAAACCCTAACTGTCATTCCTTCCTCTCTCCCTCTTGGAAATACCACTTCCATTTGCCTCGTGTCCCTAAGACCTCCCAGCCCTTGGGAAACGGGAAAGGATAATGCCGTGAGTCTGCTGGCTGTGCAAACCCCGGGATTTTGCTGGAGCAAAATCCAGGGCTTTCCAGCACTGGGATCTCGTGTTGAAGGGGCTGATAAGTGTGGCAGGAGTCCTAATTCCTGGCTCTGGTGTTTTCCTGCAGTGCCTTGCAGTTGCTCCCTGGCTGCCACCTCGAATCGGGAGCGGTGGCAGTGCGAGGCCGTCGATGTCTCTGCGACAGGGAAGTTGTCTTGGGAGGTTGTTCCCCCTGCAAAATTAGCTCAGCTCTGAGTTCCCCAAAGCTCTTCCGTGCTTCACTTCCCTTTACTTGTTCCTGTTCCTCCCCAGCTGTGGAGGGGGAACTTGGAGGGGCCTGGGCTTTGTGTGGAGCTGCAGCATCTCCACCCTGGCAGCAGGAATGAGACGCTCTCCTCCCCCTCCATCAGCAAAGGAGCTTCCCTCTGGCTGCTAAACCTCTCCAGCCGAGGTCCTTTTCCTGCTCCATGCCTTGATGGAGCTCTTTTGGGGTGAGGCTCTGGAGAAGGGACAGGGAATTCCTCGGGTTTGGGGGGAAGATGTCACAGGGATGGGCCAAGACAGCAGAGGAGGAGTTTGTGAGTCCCATCACTGCCTGGAGGAAAGGGCTGATCTGGAACGTCAATAATGGGTGCTGTCCATCTGCTCAGCAGTACTGGGACTTTGGAGGCTCCCAAGCTCCCTCAAGACCAAGGG